ACAATTTTGAACAACAATAGTTAGTCAACCGGTTAGTCAATCAGTTACCTACAACGTAGGTTCAGGCATATATATGCATCGATCCAAGTTGCCACACCTCAATAGACTGAACAACAATAACGGGATAAATGTTTCATATGAGATATTTAATAAAGCAATGAAAGTTAATGTGTACTTTTTTGAATAATTTCGATAAAAGAATAACCATTTAAAAGAGAGATTACTTGAAATATATATTTTTTCTTGTTTCTTGGGTATTTAAAATTTTGAGATATTTTAAATTCAATGGTTAAGATCATGAGTCAGTTGAAGCTAGACTACCATGGAAAACCTGGAAGTATTGGACGGCCCTTTCGTCCTATTATGGGACTCCTCAGAAGTGCGTATCCACGACCTCTCCCCCTGCTATAATAAATAAATCGTTAAAAATTCGGCTCATGGTCACCCATGAATTGTGAATTGACTAACTACAATCTCCAATTTCGATTAAATCTAGTACCAGGTATGTTATCTCATAGTAAAGATTAAATTACGGGCAACCTCTTAGAACTATATACTGTTCAGTAACTAGATTATATATATATATATATTCCATATTATAAGCTTCATTTCGATCCATAGATTATTATTGTACAATTTACTATTCCTAAGTTATGTTCAGTCTATTGATTAGTCTCCAAAGTTCGCAGCCACTTTTTGGCTTTATCTTGTATAAATGTTATTTCCCTATTTTATAGTGTGATGTGGTCTGTTTGGCTGGTATATAGACTAAGTATGTTTGAAATAAATGATTCGCATAGTGGAAGCTGTTATTGGCGTTCAGGACTCAACTGGACGAGCTAGGAGAACTCTAGGCTGCTCACGCCAATCCAATGTCATTGTTTTAGCACAGTACTAAGATTGAATAAGTTGTATTTCGATTGGTGAATTAATCAAGTAATAATTAGTCGGCCTTAAAATATACAACAAGGCACTGATTTATTTTTCACATCAGTTAAGGATAGTGCTGTACTACAAAGGGATTGATATGATTTTCTGCAGTAAATTTACGATTACTATTAAAATATTATAAAATTCTGTACAGTATCATATATGTATACATATAGTCTTCTCTGCCTACCTTCCAATTCAACTGCTTTATTGAACCGAGATACATAGACCGTATTTAGCACTCACTTTCACTACGAAAATAGGAACATATTCCAGAATAGTTCATTAAGGGAAAAAGGAAAGTTGTTCATGAAAATTTAGTATCGAAATAACTGTTATAAAGTTTTTTAAATAGTCCTTGAAAATTGAATCATCTCTAATCACTCAAATAATCGATATGTTGAATTTTGAATGAGATCATTGATCAATCAATGTTAGACCACCACTGAAAGCTTAGAAGCGCTAGACGGCTGTTTTGTGTTAGTATGATAATTTTCATAAATGTACTCACCAGTGACTAGCTTCGAATTGTAATTCGCAGACTTTGTTGAGAAGCCGTGACTAGTGGAGTTAAACCGTAAGACACTTACCTAACGAAAACAATGGAAGATGGTCGCGCAATATTGTGGATTGGCTTAAGTTAGACATTAACATCGCTGGATGCCGGCCGGCTGGTTCAATGGTCCAAATGTTAAGCGTTCGCATGCGAGGTCAAAGATGCTAGGTTTGAGTCTCATGTGCGAGATCGTGGATTCACGCTTGTGAAGAGTCTCATACTAAAACAGAACGATCGTCCATTGCTTCTACGTTTTCAATGGTGATCTCAATCAGAACTCAACAATCTCCACAAGTCTATACCTATATATTGATCTTAATCATTTTTATGAGATTCGACAGAATCTACCAAGATTTCTTTGTATTCAATTACTTAAAAGATCTTTTCATCTATGAAATCAAATAAAAACATTGGGTTCAACAGATATATATCTTGTTCGCTTATCATTATTATCATGACCTTAAACTATCATTATTAATTTACTTTCATTTCATTCCATTGATTTTCTATTTAAAAATATTTCCCCCCCCCTCATCACCCCTCTTTCTATTAATTATTTCTCATATTACTATGATTTTATTTAGAAATTGTTTCTGACATTGTTTCATTTTATTTAACCTTTCTATGTTACATCTAATTATTGTCAAGGTTAGAAAAAAAAGGAAAGAAAACATTTTAATGATTATCTCTATGCTCATTATAATCTATTATTAGATAATTAAGCTTTAAATGCCTATTTATTTGCCTATATTATGGTGAGACTATGCAACCTTTAATGATTATTATTACCATTATTATTGTTACTATTATTATTATTATTATTATTATTATTATTATTATTATTATTATTATTATTATTACTGTCAATGCTATTAACACTATACAATTTAGTATTCTATTCATTCTATCATATCATGTTTATTCATTGTTCATACTTCCTTATGAAATTAACCCGTAAAATTCCGTAATCTATGCATATGTATACACATATGTATACAATTGTATAGTTTGTATTAGCTCAATGAGTAAAAAAATGAAATTAGATTTTCTAATGTTTCGTGACTTTATATAAACTATTTCTTCAGTGAATCAATCATCAAATCAAAAATAATCCTTTGAAGAGTTGGTTGAATTTGACTGATGAAACATTAGAAAATCTAATTGTTTTTTTTTCTACTCATTGGAATAATACAAATAGTTTATATATTTTTTTAATTTATAATAATCTACTCAATTTCATACACATATAGTTCCTTTTATTATTTTGAAAAGAGCAAGAACATGCTATTCTAGCAGAATAGAATGGATTCGATTTTTTTTTATTTCGTTGGTTCTCGTCAGAGACTTACAACCTTTGATATTTAAATATCATAATTACATAATGGGTTTAAATTACTCATATGAGAGGGTTTAGTTGGAAGTTATATTGAAGACATATTAGTATAGTGTAGCAAGGATGTAAATAAATCTCATAGACTGAATATTGTAAATATATATACCTTATGTGAAAGAACATTCTGCAGCATTGATTGTGACAACAGTTCAAGCGGCTAGAAACCAGTGAAGATTGATAGAAATAAAATGAGTAGAGTTCAGTTGATATAATAAGATTATTAATATGGAAGATAGTTGGAATAAAACCCAATAATGTAATAAATGCAAGAAGGAGTTTTGAAGAAAAAGAAAAAAATATATATATTAAGATACAACGAAGGAATATTAGTCACCAATGCAAGGAAAGACCAATAACAATCTCCTCTTGAGCACCTAACTCCGGTTTTTTGGCGTCTGATAGCAACGGCTTCAACAAACTTCAAATAGACTAGATTTCGGCTGCTTACTAATCACTTTGAAGGATAGAAAGCTATCGACCTGATGTCCTGTATCAAGGAGATCTTTTGTGATTGCGTTGTTTAGAGTCTTTCTTTCTCTTGTTCTGAGGCTTTTTGGAACAGATTCAAAACAATCTAAGATATGTACTTTCTGTTTGGTCAATTTAGCTACTTTGACAAGTACATGTAAATTTATAAATACAGTTGACGGTTACATGAGATCTACTCATTTTATTTCTATCAGCGTTTACTCATTATGTAATCACTTGTTTCTGAGCGTTTGAACTGTTGTCATGATCAATGTTGTAGAATGTTCTTTCACATAAGGTATATATTTATAATATTCAGTCTATTAATTTTACTTACACCATTGCTACACTATAATAATATGTCTTCAATATAACTTCCAACTAAACCCTCTCATATGAGTAATTTAAACCCATTATGTAATTATGATGTTTAAATATCACAGGTTGCAAACAGCTGATGAGAACCTACGAAATAATATGAATTCATGATCTTCTTCTAGAATCTACCCACTGTTCAATTCATTTGAAATTATCAAATCAAACCTTAGTAATAATACCTACAATAGTATAGTTTGATAATAAATTCATTGATAAGAGATAGTTTCTTTGAATTTTATGGTGATTAGTATTAGCTGATACATTGAAAGAGAACAGTTATGAACGGATATTACGGTAACTATTATTATTGAACAACTGAATTACACAACATATAGATCAAATCACTAATGATAAATAGTTCTATTAATGTATATAAAGACGTCTATCCTCGTGATGTTTATCATCATAATCTAAAGAAGTAAACAAAATCACTAAAATCTATGGGATAATTCTGTGATTTGTGCTACTGATGTCGACAGATATAGGTAGCATGTAACGTCAATCGAGAATGAAATGTTTGATGGAAGAAAGTTGGAAAAATAAAAGAGAAGAGAAAAAAACATAGAGTGATTGATATGGAAACGATGGTACTACAAAGTCTGATACAAATAATCCATATTTCGCAAATGAAGCATTCACTGTATGGTTCTCAGATTTTACCAAGATATTCTGTCATCCTATATTAAGATAGTTTTTGTTGTCCTCACTGGTGTTCTCGTTCACTACAATTCTAGTATAATTTATCTGTAAACTTTTCGCATTTTCGAATAAGTATAGTATTACATTACTGTTCATAGTAATAGAAACATCTTGCGGGCGGGATCGTGGATGCTCACTGTTGAAGAGTTTCATACTAGGACGAAACGGCCGACCAGTGCTTGCAGGTTTTTCATGGTGGTCTAGCTGTAACTGACTCATGAATTCAACTATTAGATAATTATTTTTTTATAACATTTTTTGTAAAATTTAAACGTGGAAAATGAAATTTCGGAGATAATTAACCTTTATGCGTTAAATAACGTAAATGTTCTTTTTATATCATAAAGTAGAGTCATTTGAAAATTTACTGTAAAGTGGAAACAAGTAATCAGCTCACAACTTTTAGCTGGGGACCTACATCTAGATGCACTGACTAAAATACACGCAGAATGATACCCTGGTTCCCATCAGTTATTCAACTGATATCGATTGTATTTAAAAATGTATTTTAAACTGACAAAATAGTAATATTCACGAAATTATTTATAGTGGTATATATCACATTATACTACTTACCACTTTGACGCCTTAGAAGGGAATTTCTTGGAGGACCTACAATGTTAAAAGAAAGAATAACATAATCTTATGAATAAATTGTATTAATTTATATAAAAAATGCATCAGAAAACAGAAATAACAGAATTCTTTAACTTCTCGTGTTCAAAACAGAGCCACTGACCACATCGTAGTATTTATTCATCATCGTTATATGTACCTATGAGATGAAGGTACATTCATCAGAGTAGTCCCAAATAGGACGAAACGTGTTTCCTGGATTCACTTGCTAACCACCATAACTTCTGCTTATAATACTAGTGACTTAAGGCAATATCGAGGCAATGCACACAGTATGCATATATGCCAATAAGTGACCGGTCAATTACAGTCCTAAACACCAATGAGAAGATCCAAACGATCAATACGAAAATGAATTGGTCATGTACCTCGTTTGAAAAATACAGGTTTGTTTCCAGCTTTAAGCCTTATTGTTATTATGAGGGATAGTGATCCTATTCAAGGTACCTAAACCTAAATAACTAGTTGAAGACTCTAATCTGCTACCTATTGGGTGTAAACCGACTTTTTAATAATTAATCAACTGATCCCCATCATATTTATGATAAGTGATGTATTCTGGATGGCCGTTTCGTCCTTGTACAAGACTTCTCAGCAGTGCTCATCCATGATCCCGCCTCATGGGATTCAAACGCAGTCTCTCGCGCAAGCGCTTAACCACTAGACCACTGAGCCGGACAGGATCCAGCAGTGTTAATGTTTAACTTCAACTAATCCTCGATGTTTCTTTTATTCAAATGGATGGAGCAAAAAAAACACACTTATGAACAATGATTTAGGCAAAGTTACATTATTTTATTAAATATTCTGTTTTACCATTAGCTGATAACAGTTTGTAATTTTATAAATGATACTTTACACATAACAACATTTTATTGAAAGAATTACAAGAGTTTCAACACAAGTGTTAAGATAATAAATGATAATGAGATGTCATATATAAATAGATTGTTCAATGAATAAATCAGGAAAATCAATTAAAATTGTAACAATGGGTTGCCAGGCTTACAATCACCCCATTATACTATAAAGTGAATGGATAAAATATGATTATGAACCTCAAGAATAAACAAATCTTCAAAATGTGATGAGTTCAGCTTAATTAGTTGAAATATAAATCATAAGTATTACAAGCAAAAATGAATAGTGGCTAGCATTGGAATTCCAGACAAGCGTATCTTCCTATTTGGTATTCGTCAGCTGTATATAACTGCACCTCAGAATTGATATCCACTCCGGGACTCAAACCTAGTACCGTTTGCTTGAAACGCCATCCAGTTGGCTACTAAGTCCAGATAGCTACTAGATTGTTCAAGCAAGTGAAGCTTTAAATCATTTTTCGTATTGTTTGTTTTAATCTTTTTACTAGAAAGGGTTTTGTGGAGAATTGGTAATTTCAATAGTTGAAATCATGAATCAATTGAAGCTAGACCACCATGGAAAACCTGGAAGCACTGGACGGCCGTTTCGTCCTATTGTGGGACTCTTCAGAAGTGTGCATTCACGATCCCGCCTAGCAAGATTCGAACACAGGACTTATCAGTCTCATGCGCGAGTGCTTAACCACTAGACCACTGAGCCGGCCGGCATCCAACGGTGTTAATGCCTAACTTCAACCAATCCATGAAATCGAGTTATCCTCTGAGTAGTCCTATATTAGGACGAAACAGCCATCCATTACTACCAGGTTTTCAGTGATGGTCTAGATGAGATCACTCAATGATTTAAACTAAGAAAATTACTAATACTATTATACAAGTTTCCATGTGGTTGAGTGATTGCACTCTGTATACATTTGATTTTGTATACACAACTAATCATATTCATTCTGGATATTATAGTCTAAAGATGAATTCGATTACTTTTTTATGATCATATATGCAGTGGATTGATATTTATTCAATGATGTTGTATTATTTTGATGGAGTTTTGTTCTTTGAGCTGAACGGCCAAAACATCCAGCTCAGAGAATAAAACTCCATCAAAATCATCCACCTGAGCTACAAATTTTCCCTACCATCTCAAAATATTGTATTATTGAATATATGGGATATTGATTGGTTAGCTTATTTTAAATACAGCTACAAGGAAATCCGATTATTTCAAAAGAGTGTATGGCATCAACATCTTGAAGACTTAAACAATTTTTTTTAGTGAAGAGGAGTTTTGCGTGTTTTCGAAAGAAGAAAAAACACACCTTTTATTTACATTTCGTTGTCTGGTTTATTGGGCGGCTAATACTTTTCAATCAGAAAATTTAGCATATTCGTGTATTGCCTATTTACTTCCGTTTCTAATGTATATTTTATCCAGAAACAAAAAAAACCTCCCAGTTTTTGACGTTATATTTTCCTGTAACAAATAGAGAATCCGTGAACACATTTACTCGGAAACCTGTTTTGTTTTTTTCCTCATAAAGTTATCATAATAAGATTGAATAAGTTTTATTTAACGTAGACAAATTATTCTAGATTATTCTCAGTACACGCTTTTTGATGTTATAAATTCTGGTTTGATTTCAGAAACAATGGAGTTCAATCTACGCTTTTTGTCCCATTTGAGATTCGTCAACCATTTGTACCTGTATCCTAGTATTAATGTTTACTTTAGGATTTTAATGAAGTATCTTTTAATTCAAACATATAACACATTATTCACTTAGCTAATGAGTTCAGATAAAACATACTTGTTCAAATGGTATGAGTTTTTAATTTAGTTTATAATGAGTCGGATTGTGGTGTATGCTACTGATGTCAACTGATATAAGTAGTATGTATCATCAATGAAAAGTGTAATGCCTAGCGGTAGAAAGTTAAGCAGATCAAAGAAAAGAAAAACGAGAACAAAGAATGATTGTTATGGAAACGAGGGAACAATCAAATCTGTAACGATCGACTGATGTTTTGCAATTGACGTATTTACTGTATGGTTCTTAGATTATGTTAAGACGTTCTATAATTTTGTAATGAAATACATTGGGTTGTCCCCACCAATGTTCCCATTCACTACAAGATAATCTAAATCATTTCTAATTTAATTATAATTTGATAATTTTAATTGTTGCTTACATTCAATTTGTACCATTTGTACCATGAAATTCTGGTCTAGAAATTTATTTATCCATTTGTTTTCATCAATAATATAAATTACATTGTTATCTATGAAATAACAACATCTAAAGTGTAATCTAGTTTAAATCTGTATTAGCTCATGGAGACAAATATGATATGACAATTGCAAAGCACCAAGAAAGAAAAAAACATATATCGCAGAACATGAAAAGAAGATTTAAGAAAAGATTATAACTGTTTTGGTTACCATGTAACTTCCCCCTACAAAGTTCAGCTCAATTATCATTCACTTTATAAGTTGATACTTTATTATTTTTTGAGCACATTTAAACTATCAAAGTAACTTAAGGTAGTCTATAATAAATAACATTTAACAATTGTATTGCCTATCTTAATTAGACAAAATTGTTTACAAGTGGATAGGCATTGCTAAAATATTGAATATAAGAAAAAAAGTACTGGTCGTTCAATGCTTTGATGTTTTTCAATGGTAGTCAACTTATGATCATTTCAAAAGTGAGATTCCATATATATATGGTAACATTTTAACTTCGCAATTTTGATGAAGTTTTGTTCTCTGAGCTGGATGATATGGTTGTGAAGCTTTCATCGTTCTTCTGAACAGCATCATCATCAGCACAAACTTCAGGTAGAAGTGAAGTGTTTGAATTTCTCTACATATGGTTTATAGCTTTTCCCATAGAACTCGATGTTGGCTGGTTCTTGTTAGCCTCAAATCTGTCATTGTTTACTTCTTTATTTTGATTGTATCTTCCATTGATTTGATTCTGGGTATTATAACCGTCTTATATTCACTTCTACCTGAAGCTTGTGCTGATGATGTTGTTTAAATTAACAATGAAAGCTCCATGACCAAACTATCTAACTCAGAGAATTAAACTATCAAAATCATCCATCTGAGCTACAAATCTTCTCCACTATTTTATAACTTCGTAATTAAATACTAGATGACATGTAGTATTTAAGATGTTCTTTTCTCAATCGGTCGAAAAGTATATGGTTAAGCATCAGTTGAAAAAAACAGAATAAATTCATCAAATGGTAAATTAGCAACTATAATAACACAGGTTATCAATAAGCTCAATTACTTTAAGGAACTAGATGAGGAAGAATTTGTCAGTCAATTTATAAACGTTGAAATATACTGATATCAGTCAGCAACAACGTTGAACCAGGCATATATATGCATCGGTTCAAGTTGCTATACCTCATTATCATAGCAAGATGAACAAAATATAATGATGATAGGTTTGTATTGATTAAATGCAATTATCCACGTAAACGTTCTTTATATTTGATTAGTCTATAGGATTCTTTTAGTATAAACATTCATAAAGTAATAAAATAAACATATTTAAGGTTCATGATTAAGTTATTTATTTTTCAAATAAATTTGATCAACGCTTTATTTTCCCATATGGAGAAAAAATCTGAAATGTCCAAACCCTTTTAGATGACATAGTGTCATTTAGTTTTTTTCTTAGTTTAAGTTTAGTTTAGTTCTTCTGGTGGTCGACTGAATTATGAAGACTTCGACATCTGAGGGAAAACACGGCATACAATGAACAGCTCAGAACCAGTTAGACGATTTAGACTTCGCATATGACCTAGCCATCCTATCGCATGCACACGAACAAATGCAGATAAAGACAGCCAGTGTAGCAGCAGTCTCTGCATCAGTAGACCTCAACATACACAAGGGGAAAACCAAGGTCCTCAAATACAACACGGAGAACAGCAATCCAATCACTCTTGATGGCGAGACTCTGGAAGATGTAGAATCCTTCACATAACTGAGAAGCATCATTAATGAACAAGAAGGTTCAGATGCAGACGTAAAAGCGAGGGTTGACAAAGCAAGGGCCGCATTCCTTCAATTAAAGA